TCATATCCAAGGACCAGTGGTGGGTTTCAAAAATTTTTGGAACCTCTTCTGTAGGTGTGGCCTGCTTTCTGGTGGAACCTCTTCTAACAGGTTTGGTAGATTTGACGAACCAGTTCTACCGAATAGGTGAGAACTGGTAGGAACCCACCTCTGGCGCATATGCACACGGATGCGTGTTCTGGCTTGGGCACTTGGTGCCTAAAAAGTTCACCATCACTGTCCTAAGCTATGAGATAGAATGAAAATAAGCACTGTGACCAGATCTTCAGCCACTACAGGCAGATATCATATTTCCCCTTAAATGGGATGGCAGAGGCAATCTACAAAATACTACTGGATCCTCTACACATCTTAAAAGCAAATCCTATGATTTCAAATTTAAAAAAAAAATCATGAAACCATTTTAAGTTTTTTAAAAAATAGTTTAATAAAAACAAAATGTGGATATAGACAAGGCATATTTAGCATTTTTCCAAGCTAGTACCCTCTAGCTATATTAAAACTACAACAACTCAATCAGCTAATTATGGGAAGTGATTGTTCTACACATCTGGAGGGTGGGAGAGGCTGATTTACAGGTAAGTTCAGATCCTCAAAGGTCCTGCATGTGCCTTACTTGTGTTACATTAGCAATTTTATAGGAAAAAAAAAATTGCAGCCATTTTTTTTCCTCTAAGTGACATTGCTCATTATTTTTAAAAGCAAGCTTAATATAAGAGTCAAAACTACATTAGGTCCCGGGAAAAAAATCCATACTGTAACACAGGTGCAATAATTGGCTCAAATAAGATACTCAAGTTTTCACAACTTTTTCAAATATTAAAGATAGTCTTCACTACCCACTACCCATACAATACACTGCATTGTTCTGTGTTCAATTTTTTGCCCATCGCGTGTTTCTCACTAAGCAATCCATCCGTGTCCAAACGAAAAAAGTCAGAAATGAATCCTTTGGCAATTTTCATTGGCTTATCTATTACCTCTATTTTACATTTCTTTAACAAGCCAGGTCCTTTTCTGCATTCTGCCGAAGTTAGGGCACTAACAGCCGAGAAGACACGTGCATAAGAACAACAGCGAACAAGCACACACTGGACAACCGCATTCCCACGCTGCCATGGACATCACACAGAGAACACAAATCAGCCGAAAAGCTTTCTTTTTCTGGGTTCTGCGGGCGGATGCTCCCGATGCTCAACACCTGCTACACTTTTCACTCCACACTTTGCCAGTCTTCATGGTCTCAAACTTAACGCTGAAGTCAGATCAAAGGCTGCCATCATATCAATATATAAATAAGACGATATACGGGCTCGACAGGGCGCCCACCAGATGTTCTTGCCGATGTTCGTGTTGCAGTCGGAGAATCCTTACTGACGTTTACCCACCTTTCCCCCCACCCCGAAAGCGTTTCCCAACGCTACCCACAGTAG